TCAAAAAATTTAAAAAATATTTTTTGCAGTAATTTTGAATAATTCTTTTTATTACTTGCATAACTTTCAATATCGCATCGATTTTGATTAAAAGTAAATAATATTTTAGTATTTTGCCATAAAATCAGGCAAATAAAATGTAGTAATTTACTGGAAAAGGCTATGTTATTAATTTTAATGCAGAAGTTTTTAGATTAAAAAATATTAATTCTTTATTCTCATGCAACTAGCAGTAGTACTTTTAACACTTTCGGTTATCAGCAATACTATCAGATGATACAGTATTGTAATTTATGCATACCTTGGATATAATCAATATTATTATTGTAGTTATGCATAATTTGGACTTAATTATTATGTATAATTTATGCATAATTCGGACTCAATTAACTATTAAGCGAATTTTTGGTTCAATAGTAGTTTTAATTCAAATGCAAATAAATTATTAACAGATTAGCAAATAAATTTTTCAGTTTTTTGTATTGTGAATTTTTAAATTGCCATTTAATTTTTTCACCTTTAATACTTTTGTTAAGCAGCAAAAATACTTTTCACTTGTGTTGAACTGTTTTGATATTTAAATAGTAGCAATTTCTATTATTTTATTCGATTCAATAATTTTTAAATAATCTCAATATGTAGTAATCAAGAAAGAACTTTTTTTAAAATTTTATTTCTGAAAAATTTACTAAAATTAAAAGTTATTGACTGAAAATTGAAGTTTCAGGAAATTTGCATATTTGCAAAATTTATATTAAATTTTTGAAGTAGCAATTTTTGATAATGCACAATATTTTTAAATTTTTTAAAAAAAGACCAAAATTTTTTGATGATTTTTAAAATCACTACAACAGTTCTTTGAGTGTTTTGATACTTTTTTAAAATATAACTTGTTTTTAAATTCTTCTGGAAAAAATACTATCTTTTTTTTAAGTTTTGCAAATAAAAATACTTAAAACTTTTTATTTACTTTTGATATCACGCAATGATAATCATTACTGGGACAAATTACTAAATGCATTTGCATGAATAAATTATTTACAAAAAGACATAAATTTAAATTTTTATTTGAATAATATTTTAAATTAACATTTTTGTAATTAAATATTTGAGAAATAATTACAAATTTTGAAAGCAATTCATAGAATACTAAAAGTATTAATTATCTTTTATGACTGTAGTAATGAACAACTTTTCGAGAGACTTAAAAATGTTTTAAATTTATTTTTAGAATATTTTAATTGAAAAAATTATACAATTTGCTTTAATAACTTTTATTGCTTAAATTGCAGAATATTTTTTAACTTTTATTCACAAATTAGAATATTTTCAACTTCACACATATTTTGTTCACTCGCAGTTTTGTGCTTTTACTTGAATTTATTAAATACAAATGATTAAAATTAATTTATGTTGTAAATAAAATAAAAATATTAGCAATATCTTTTATGCTAACAACTTTTTATTTATACGATTTCATTTTGTAAATAGCATTGAGAAAAAAAATTTGCGTGAAAAATAAACATATCTAATTTTAGAATTAGACAAAAAAAATAGACTAAAACTAATTTGTCATATAACCAATTAAAAAAAATTTTTGTTTTTTATCAAATAGCAGTCCCTGATCTAATTTAGAAGGCAGATTCAGATGCTTGAAAGTGAATACAGATGGCAGAGGCTAGAATCTAGTCTGACATGATATCAAATGCAATACTTTCTTGATGCACATTTAGTATATAAATCTTCCAATTTACTAATTTTCTCATACTGTTTGCTAAGCTTGTAGCTTAGTTTTTCTAGTATTTGGACTATTTTTCTGTCATTATTTAATTAAATTAAGGCTAATTATAGTTTTATTTAATATATTATGCCATATAACCGCATTTTTTTGGAAATTATTAAATTTTCTGTCAATATTAAAAATTGATTGCTATGATAGTTAAATTGTTTGGTTCAACATAAGGATTATTAAGGATGGATATTGAAAATATAAATGTATATAATATTTATACTTTCTTTCATACTTTTTTACTTTTCTTGCTTACTTTCTTTATTTACTTTAAAAAAATGTATAATGTAATGAAATTTTCTATTTTGCTCTACTTTAATATTATTAGGAATAATAATCTGGATTAGTGTATAAGTTATTTCAAATAATTATCATAATAAACAGATAAAATTCTAAATTAAAATAAATGAATAGAAATGGATGAAAAAAAGAATGCCACAAACGAGCTGGAAGTAATTGAAGAATATGAAAAAAACTTGGATTGTATTTATCATCCGACCCAATATTTAGAAGAACGGTTTTGGTTGGTATCAGTAGTTGGTACAACTGTAGCAACCATATCGATAATCGAGAATTCTTTCCTCTTTTTTGTACTAATTACAAAGTAAGTTAGGTAGTATTCTCAAACACTAAATAAGTTTTTTACTTTGGTTTTGTTTGAAATTATACGATCAAATTTGGATTTGGTACCATTTATCGGTATTAAATTTGCATTTTATGCAAAAAAAAAATTACAAAAAATAATTGTTTACATTTATTAAAGATTTTTTTAATGCTTAAAACAATCAAAATTTTACTTATTTGAAAAATTGTATGCTATAAATTTATGAAAAATTTTAAGTTTATATTATATCAGATTGAAATCATCGATCGTATTTTTACTTTTTACTAAAATTAACTTTAATTAATAAATACTTTATTCTTTTTAAATATAAGCTAGAATTTTTATTTTCGATGTAAATTTGTACAACTGTAAAGATTGAATGACATTATGTTTATTTTTGATATAATTTTTTAGCACAAATAAAACAAAACAAATTTGGTTTTGCTCGTTACTGACTATCAAACAAGTAATGCTTTATATGATTAGGGATAAATTTTCAAAAAATTAGTACCTAAAATATTGTGATCAAATTTGAATTTCAGTAACGGTCATTTTAGTTTGAAAATTCGTCGGACGAGATGAAGAAAAGATACAAAATCAAATTGTTACATAAAATTTAGCATGTATGATTCTAAAAAATTAACATTTATGGTAATGTCAATTTTTGAGAATCATTTTATTCACTGCAAAAAATTTTTACAAAAGACAGAAATATTAAATAGTATTAATAAAAGTTTGCTTTTTTATTTTTTGTTATAAATTTTAGTTTTTAAAAATTTTTTTTGAATTTAAATTTAGTTTTTTCATCCGAATGAATTTACCAATCTGACTTTGCAACAAACTTCTAAATTGGTAGCCAAATCAAGCATTCTTTCAGTACTTTCAGCAAGATTTGCTTTTTTTTGAAAAAGTTTTTATTCCAAAAAATCTATTTAAGTAATGAAATTTAGCAAAACTCAAAACTACTTCACTATTCAAATTTGCAAAATAAAATATTGAATTCAAACTATAAAACATTTCCAATTATTTGATTCCAATATACAAAACAAATTATTGCATTCATGATTTAAAATTTTAATTAAGCTTATAGTAAAAGTAGTCATTGTCAATTTTTTTTTGAATAGTAAAGTAGTTTTAAGCTATTTAAATTAGAATCAATCAAGTGAAATCGCAATATTCAAGTTACAATATTTCGGTAATTACAATATTTCAATAATACAGTATTTTTGCAGTTTTGTAATATTCAAGTTACAAAAAACACTAAAATTTTGAAAATAATTTTAGTATAAAACTAATCATTGAATGCTTTTTGATACGATATGGATTAATATGAATTTTCAGCAAAGTTCATCGCCAATCATACTTGTTGTACTTCGCCTTGTTGGCATTTTTTGACGTACTCGTCGCTGCTGCCTACATATCCCTTATGTCCATCTCACAACTCGCTGATTATTATATGTCACCAAAATTACTTCAGGCCTGGTACTTTTCAAAAATTAAACTTCCTATTAAGTTGTTAATTAACGAACTGAAATCCGTGACTGATTTACTTAATTAATTAATTCAAATAGATGAAATCTTT